GTTACTCTACCTACCTTGCCTTTGTGTCTCATTGGTGTCTCATTTGCGGGCTGTCCTCTTGTTTGTCTCATCTAAGTCCAGTTCCTCTGAGGTTGGGTTGTTCTTGGAGTCAGAGTCCAGTTGTATTTATTTTATTGAGCTCTATTGTTTATGTTGTCAGCAGAGTCTCATCAGTGTTTAACTGCTGCCTTTGTCTTCTGGTTGTGAGTAAAACTAAATGTCTGCTGTTGGTTTGTTGCTAACGAATGATCGTGTTAGTCTCGTGTAGCGTAGGAAAGGCCCAGAAACACGATCAAGTTTCTCACAAAATCTCATTGTTCCAGATACAAGAGATCAAGCCAACATATTCTGTTTCTGTTGGCTTGATCTCAAGTCTTTGTCAATAATCATAGTATTTAGGAATAAAACTTAAATATGTTGTTTAAAGATTATTGTGTGGATAATCTTTCTTGTCAGTTAACCATGTGTTAAAGGTGTGGTTGAGTGAAAAATATTTTTTTCTTAATATTTATTTTTTCTGATTAGTTTTTCATGCAAGTTGAACATGAAAATAGTCTCCTACACCTATCTCCTGCATTAGCTTCTGGTAGAAAATAGATGGTTTGAAAATCTCACAGATTGTCATCACACTGTGAAATAACATTTATGGACTCAGCGATCGTGACTCGCAACAGGGAAAGCTGTTGTTAAGTCCAGGAAACAGCAGAGAACATCTCGACTAGTTAAGCTAACTGTTAGCATTAGCATCTTCATGGTCGAGGTCCTCCTGGCTTGTATTAGTGGTCATAAAATATCCTTGTAACAAGTCAGTGGTAGAGTTGCTGTTATCCAATCCAATCCGAGGGGACAGCTCAACTGCGATGTTGCAGACTTGGCCTGCTAAGACAGTGTTTTGTGGGCTTTTTTGTGCCCTGAATTCTGCCTACAAGGCACCGCAAATGTATTGATTAAACGAGTGATCCATACCTTTAAAAATGTGCAATAACTACTATAATAACAATAACTAGAAAATTCCTGAAGAAGTTTTAAAAGGGACCTTCCCGCTGGCAAAAGAAGCTAGAGCGACTGCCAAATCCTCAGTGCTTATTCTCTTCGACTTATCGGCTGCATTTGACACTGTCAACCAAGGCTTCCTTTTGTCCACACTCTCTACCAAGGGCATCACAGAGAAAGCACATGCCTGGTTTGAATTGTACCTCACAGGACGATCATTCAGTGTATCTTGGCTTGGACAATCCTTTACCGTGCATCATCTTGCCACAGGAGTCCCCCAGGGCTCTGTACTAGGGCCTCTTCTCTTTGCCATATACACCACCTCTGTGAGGCCTGACTCGAGCTGAGCTGAACCGGAGCAAGAGTTCGGGATGTAGCGTGTTTTTAAACCCAAGCACGGAGTGACTGACGCCGGGCAGATTGACACGTGGTTTGTTCTAGGAGTCAAACCGTATAATGACTGGAGAGCACGGCGGCTCCAAAAGGTAACAAGCTGACATACTTTGAGTCGGCAGGGTGAGTAGCACGGGCTGATCTGGTCAGAACGGGCTGAGTCATCGGGTTGGATCGGGTCGGAACTCGGAGCACAGTTCGGTTAGAACGATGACTGAGTGGTTTGGCATTGAGCTGTACTTCCTTATGTAGATGTGGCGGGTGACGTGGGCCGGAAGACTGACGCTGGGAATGCTGGGTAGTGGAGTTCGGTTGGCCTGAGTGGGTGTGTGGTCCTCCCCCGGAGGATGTCGAGGGTTGTGAAGGGGGCAGCGTGACAACCTCACTGGGTGAGATCATTCGATCACATGGCTTCTCCTACCAAAGCTATGCAGACGACACCCAGCTCTATCTGTCATTTCCACCGGACGACCACACTGTCTCTGCACGAATATCGAACTGTCTCTCTCTGACATATCAAAATGGATGAAATCCCACCATCTTCAACTCAACCTCTCTAAAACTGAACTACTTGTCATCCCAGCAAAACCATCCATACAGCACAATATATCAATCCAGAATGACTTCCTATCTCTGGCTCCTTCAAAGGCAGTTCGAAATCTGGGTGTTGTGATTGATGAACACCTGACCTTTTAAGATCATGTTACCTCTGTTGCTCGTTCATGCCGCTTTGTGCTGTATAACATACGAAAGATCCGACCATACCTAACACAACATGCCACCCAGCTCCTGGTGCAACCTACTGTCATCTCCCGCCTCGATTACTGCAATGCCCTTCTAACTGGTCTTCCAACCTGTACTGTGAGACCTCTTCAAATGGTCCAGAACGCAGTGGCACGTCTGGTCTTCGATCAGCCAAAAAGAGCACACGTCACCCCTCTGTTCATTGAGCTCCACTGGCTACCGCTAGCAGCACGCATCAAATTCAAATTGCTAACACTAGCATACAAAGTCCGAGATGGTACGGCTCCCATCTACCTGAATCCTCTTGCAAATGCTTACGTCTCGGCCCGGCCGCTCCGGTCATCACAGGATCGTCGGCTAGCAGTGCCTACACCACGCTCAGGACAATCCAGACTCTTCTCATGCATCGTTCCACAAATGTGGAATGACCTTGCGAGCACTACCAGAACAGCGGCTTCCTTTTTCAATTTTCAGGAAACTCCTGAAGACCCTGCTTTTCAGAGAGCATCTTCTTAACTAGCACCCTCCCTGCACCTGTTCCCCCCTCTACCGTCCACTCCTTTGTTCCCTCCTCTCCATAATTGACGTCAAGTTGTTGTTATTGTTATTGTTAGCCTCAAGGGCAACATGCCGATTATCACTTGTAAGTCGCTTTGGACAAAAGCGTCTGCTAAATACATAAACATAAACATAACATAAACAAGGTAGTGGACACTGATGTTTCATTTGTGCGGGTGCATGCTCCAAATCAAGACATTATTTCCTCCGGTGAAGAAGTCTAAGATGCTACAAACCAACTTGGGACCCCCTACTGCATAAAATTGAGAAACCTGTTGATGTTCTTTGCAAATAATTTTGCCATGGTAAATCAGATCACTTAGAAAAGTAATCAAACCTCCCAATTCTTATTCTTCTTTTTCTTCTTCCCACCCTATATTATTATCGTTTCATTGTTCATTTCTTAATTCTAATTTTTGCTTATCTTTTATTTTTTCTTGTACCAAGTACTGCAGCAATTTCCTAATGTTGTGATTCTCATTCTCGCACATCTGGCAATTAAACCCTGATTCAGATTCTTCTTCATTGGTGGAACTAAATGTCATCTAAACCCCCTTCAAATGTTTTGAGAGGTTTTCATTTCAGTGCATCTTTTATTGTGAAGGCTTTTGTAAATTAAGGCTTGTCATAGGTTAGTACAGTTGAGGCTGTAAGGATACTAAAGAAGTTGGTTTGATTCACTAAGCCAAACAGCCTTGTATCTCAGCAGTTTTATCACATTCATGCACACTTATAACCTACAACTGCAGAAGGCATTTGATAAACAAGCCAACTGATAGACAGAAGGTCAGCTGACCTGAAGTAATGTGCCAGACAGAAGCAGAGGTATGTCAGATCTGTATTTCTTTCTTCACATGCAATCGTGGTTTTTTTCACTAGTGGGGTGCACCTAATTTCATTTTACCAGCCCAGCTAATGCTAATTTCCACCTACAAACTATTAATCAGAACTTCAACTTTTATTTACAATAAACATGTTGACCTCATCCGTCATATGAAATGGAATAACTGTGTTGTTGAGTATTTTCCTTTTACGCTCATATCATCCAGTCTCGCTGAAAATCTTTCGGGAATTCAGCTGCAGACATTATGTTTGAAATAATAATGGGAGCGGTGCACCACTGATTTACGCAGAAATGTAATATCATTGGCGAGCACACTTATGAAGTTGGCTCGGTGATTTTCTGTATCTGTTTTTCTTGCATTTAGTCTGCAGCTGGTTGGCATTTCCACAGGAGTCCCAAGACTGAATAGTTGATATGAGGGTGGAGAGCACATTCCTCACCAGGGCTGCAAATCACAGATTTTCATCACAATGTTTTCCTCTTTTCACACAAAAATGACATCCCAGTTGGAAGATGTGCCTCCTCTTCAAACAAACAACTATTTAAAATGAGAATTCACACAGATACATTTTCAGAAAATATGTGGAAACTCCTTGTGTTTGTGAACATGAACCCACGCTTGCTTCTGAAAAGCCCAAAGGCGGGTAAATCACTTCTGGTTTAGTCGTAGTGGGGATGAGGCTTTCCTCCTACAGGCTGCTTGGATCCGTCTCAAGTCCAACTCTGCAGCTCCGTGCCGTCGCCTGGAGGGGGGACACGGTGATGGACAGCCTGCAGAGCAGTTGTAATTTCCAGCAGCTGGAATAGATCGTGATGGTGAAAAACAGAAAGGAATCGTGAACTTGTGCATATTTTTCTTGCTACAGTGTCCGACTTTTTTCATCTTTGTGTTTTTTTCTTTTGTAAAAGAAAACAAAAATGACATTTGCTTATCTAGATGAACTCGAACAGAAAGAACTTTGTGTACTTCTTTTTGGGTCGATGTCTCCAAACAAGTCAAGGACATCATCATTTCGTTCAGCCTCAGTTTGAAACTCTGACTTGTTTTTAGTGATCCGGACTCTACAACGTTAACAGTCTTGAATGTGTTTTGCAAAAGAATTGATGAAAAAACTATAATTCTGAGAACCATTTCCCACAGTTTGGTTTTTATTGTCTCTTGCTGACACTTATATCTTTTTGTTGTCGTTGTTGTTTTATATTTCTGGGCTTTTTTATAGTTTGAAGTCTTGCAGCAGTGGAACAGCTTCCTTAGAGAAATGTTTTCACTACCAGCTCAGAGCAGGAGGTGATGTAATGTCTGAAGACTTTTAAATAAACAGGCAAATATGGTATTTTTCTAGTTTTTTTTACTGCAACCAAAACACCAGTGCTACTGATGGATGCATGCATTTCTTTTACTCATATTTCATCTTTTTCAAATATCTTGAGTCGTCCCGGCCAACCTGCTGGTTTGTTTCTGTTTCAGCGTCGCTGCCCTCCATAATTCTGACTATTGTGTCCAAACCATATCAGAGGGGGGTTTATTGTGATGACCAGAGCATCATGTACCCCCTGAAGCCAGACACCATCACCCACGGCACGCTGGCAGCCATCACCATCTCCTGCATTATTATCATTGTAAGTATCTCCATTCTTAAATTCTTTCTGAAAATAAAAGTGTGTAAACAGATAAGTGGTTTTTTTTTCCCTCCTAGATCTCATCTGGAGAGGCTTACCTTGTCTACAGAAAGAGAATTTACTCAAATTCGCACTTCAATCAGTACGTTGCTGCGCTCTACAAGGTGGTGGGCACCTTCTTGTTTGGAGCCAGTGTCAGCCAGTCGCTGACCGACCTCGCCAAGTACACAATTGGCCGTCCGAGGCCTAACTTCATGGCCGTGTGTGCCCCAAAGCTCTGCTCAGGGTACATGCAGGTGATCAACTGCACGGGCAGTTTATCTGACGTCACAGAGTCAAGGTAGGAGAAGACATGTGCAATCGACAGCTACAAATCTGTGCAAAAGATGGCTCATGGCAATGTTTGACAGTTTTTATGTTTATGTTTATGTATTTAGCAGACGCTTTTGTCCAAAGCGACTTACCAGTGATAATCGCCATATTGCCCTTGAGGCTAACAACAACAACATTGACATCAGTCATGGAGAGTAGGGAACAAGGAGTGGACGGTAGAGGGGGGGATGGGTGCAGGCAAGGTGCTAGTTAAGAAGATGCTCTCTGGAGAGCAGGGTATTCAGGAGTTTCTTGAAAATTGAAAAGGAAGCCGCGGCTCTGGTAGTGCTTGGAAGGTCATTCCACATTTGTGGAACGATGCATGAAAAGAGTCTGGATTGTCCTGAGCGTGGTGTAGGCACTGCTAGCCGACGATCCTGTGATGACCGGAGCGGCCGGGCCGAGATGTAAGACTTTACAAGAGGATTCAGGTAGATGGGAGCCGTACCAGCTCGGACTTTGTATGCTAGTGTTAGCAATTTGAATTTGATGCGTGCTGCTAGCGGTAGCCAGTGGAGCTCAATGAACAGAGGGGTGACGTGTGCTCTATTTGGCTGATCGAAGACCAGACACGCCGCTGCGTTCTGGACCATTTGAAGAGGTCTCACAGTACAGGCTGGAAGACCAGTTAGAAGGGCATTGCAGTAATCGAGGCGGGAGATGACAGTAGATTGCACCAGGAGCTGGGTGGCATGTTGTGTTAGGTATGGTCGGATCTTTCGTATGTTATACAGCGCAAAGCGGCATGAACGAGCAACAGAGGCAACATGATCTTTAAAGGTCAGGTGTTCATCAATCACAACACCCAGATTTCGAACTGCCTTTGAAGGAGCCAGAGATTGGAAGTCATTCTGGATTGAGATATTGTGCTGTATGGATGGTTTTGCTGGGATGACAAGTAGTTCAGTTTTAGAGAGGTTGAGTTGGAGATGGTGGGATTTCATCCATTTCTAAAGGTATGTAAATAAATAAGTATCCTGTTTGTTTCCTTTTCACAGATTGTCCTTCTACTCCGGTCATTCCTCTTTTGGAATGTACTGCATGCTCTTCCTGGCGGTAAGCACAGCTTTGAGTCTTTAAAACATTGCATCTCTGTGTGCAGTTGAAACACAAAAATCTCAGTTTGTGTCTAGCATGACAGTCTCCTGATAGGTCCATGAGAGGACAGCCTTGTGCGTTAGAAACTGTAACCAAGGGCCAGTTGTTGAGAAGAAAACACCTACAGAGCCATTTTAAGCTTGTGGACATGAAGAAGGACCAGAGAAGGGCTCAGTGGACAAATGTGATCTTGAAGCTTCTGCAGCCTTTTTTCAAAGCAGTGTTCTGTCTCGGATGAGTCAGGCAGTCGGTGTCATTTCTATGGCGACCAGTATGACCTTGGTTTCAAGATTCAGGAAGAAAGCAAAGAGCTACTCATGCAGACACCAAAAACAATTTAAACACACTTATCTAATTTTACAAATTCAGAACTTTTAGTTTAGCACATACTGCCCATTTCACAGCAATGTTGAAACATGTCCGATAAGATTATGTTTCAAAAATCCAGGGGAACTTTTATACTAAGAGGTATAAACTAGATTATGAAACATCTCATGTAATTAATTAGAGGTGTCTCATTTTTCTTGATCAAGTGTAAAAGACGCATTTGCTTCTGATAATAGAAAATCTGAAAATAGACTGTGAAGCTCTAGGATTAGAAAAGCCTGACAGCATCATCCTGACTCACGATGGGGAAGGCTGTTGTTGGTTTAGCATCCAGGAAACGGCAGAGAGCGTCTCGGCTAGTAGAAGCTAACCGTTAGTGTTAGCGACTTCACCACACAGCAGAACTTCTCCAGGCTTATGTTAATTGTGGAGATAAAACATTTGTGTAGCAAGTCAGTGGTAGAGTCACATTTCCATTAGCCAATCAGAGGTGAGATGTCCAAATATCAAGAAAGAAGAATCCAAATCCAGCAGCCTGAAGCTGCTTTCTGCTCCAGCTGAATTCTCCATCCTCAAACAGGCTCACCTGAGCGTTTAGCCCCAGATTACGACTTACAAGGCATTCATTCCCACTAGAGACCACTCCAAATGCACTGGTTAAGTGATTGAACCATATCTTTAAATGGACAAAATCAATATTAGCTAATTAGCTGCATTAGTTAAACAGATAATTCTGTTCACCATCTACTGTAAGTAATAGTACACTGATTGGTTATAACTGGTCTATACAACAACATCTGTGTCTGTTTTAGCCCTGAAACTTTAATATCCGTGTGTAAAACCCAGCTAGCCAGCAGATTTCAGCTCAAAGGACAGACAGGCGAACTCCAGCTTCTGTTGAATTACATCAATATTTAACTCTGTAATGTTTTGTTTGGCAAAAACTGCAAACAAACTAAGCTAAGCTGTGATTTCAAGCTTTGGGTCGTTTTAAGTGCGCTGCAGTGTGAAGCATGGCAGAGGGACGCAGGTGTCATGCCAGTTATCGCACCTTCAAAAGCAGCTGAGAGGAAACTTTGGGACATTTATGCTTTTGCCAGATTCATAAAACTTTTTGGCATTTAGTTCTATTTTAAAATGGAACACTCAGGAGTTTATTCACTCATACTGGAAATAAATTACTGTTTTGCCCAACACTGTTTATAGTCAATTTGGGGATTTTGAAGTAGGTATGAAGTCACTTTTTTAGTTGAATCTGTTGTTTTAGGGAATTTTTTGTGTGGCCGTGTGTTTTTTGTTGTCCAGTTTTGCTAACAGCCCTTTTTTTTATTTCTGTCTCCAATCACAGCTTTATGTGCAGGCCAGACTTGCGGCTAAGTGGGCCAGACTTCTCCGACCTACCATCCAGTTCTTCCTGGTGGCCTTCGCCGTATATGTGGGCTACACCCGAGTCTCTGATTACAAGCACCACTGGAGCGATGTGCTGGTGGGGCTGCTGCAGGGAGCCCTTGTTGCTGTACTCAATGTGAGTCTCTAAGACAACGACCTTCAAACCACTCCTGATCCCATCAGATGACGGTTCACACATCCACCAAAGACCTCTTTCATTTGGTATAAACTCCTCGGTTATTTAACCCTTTGATGCATGAATTATGAAATCTTCAACCATGATTTTTGTAACATTTGTTTTCATTCATCTTTAGGTGTGAATGATACAAATTTCAACAAATATTTTTAGTAAATTTTTATAATTTACAAATAATTTATTACATGTCCACCTCAGTGGACAGCGTGCATTCTGAACATACCATACCCATACCATACCATTTTATTTATAAAGCGCATTCAACAAGGCATTACAACCAAACAAGGCGCTGTACACTAAAAATGTTAGTTAATTAAACCGGCATCAGACCGTCAAGTAGAACAGAGGTAAAAGATAAAAAGGAAAAACAACAAAATTCCTAGAACTAACAGTTAAAAATCAATAAATCACAGGGAGAATATAAAAAATAAGAAAAACATTTTAAAAAGAACCCCAGTAATACGGAAGTTGATATTGTGCATTCCATTTTTAAACAATGTAGTTGTCTTTTCACAACATGAAATATGTTGGCTTGGCTTACTGAAGTACAAATGGAGGGGCTCAAATGCAATAAAGTCTTCAACAGCTGTGCTTAATAGCAAAAATAAATAAATACTAATTTTGAATACCTGTCCACTGTAGTGACCATTATGCATCAAAGGGTTAAAACACTCTGACATTTTGTCAGTTGATCTTTTTGTGAAGTGACCTCAGCCTTGTGCAATTTGAATCATCTTAACTTTTGAATCCATCGTTTTGGAAAAGCAAACATGGGTGAGACAGTCGCCAACATCAAAATTACATTTAATGGAAATCTTGCTGTTAGTGATACTCCCTTCAAAGCGCACCACCGTTTATTTTTTCATCTTTAACAGAGAGTTGGTAAAGTGTAACACGGCAGCATGAAGGGTTTGGGGTTACACTCACAAACTCAGAGCTGCCAACATGTCCATTCTCAACTTCATCCAGCTGGGCTCCTTTATTGTTCTGGCCACTTCCCTGTTTTGACTGAACCGCTGTCAGAAGTTCCCGGTGGAAACTTTGTGTGGGTTCGTGCACGTACATATGTACGTGCGTGTTTGTGTGTGTGATTAATTAGGTCCTAAGTTGACGGCTTTGGTCTTCGGTGTGCTGTAAGCCATAATAGCCCCTTCGAGGCGGGGTTTAATAGCCTACAAGGTTTGTTCCAACTCTCTGTGTGTTCCGCTCACATGTGAGTGTGAATAAGTGTGTTATTTAACATCTGTGCATAAACCTCACCAGACATGTGTAATCACAGTTTCCAGCCCTGCCCTTACATCCTCCATATCCCTTACATGTAACCCACTCTTTTTCCTGTCCTTTTTTTTTTCAGGTTCGCTTTGTGTCAGATTTTTTAAAGAAGCGTCCTCCCCGTTGCACAAAGTCGGACACGGTCGATGGCGAGGAGTCGGGAAGGAAGCCAAACCTGCAGATCACGGACGTGGAGCACGGGAACCATTACAACTTCCGCAACAATCCTGGCACTTTGTGATGCTTGGCTGCAACCTGCAGAACCCCAAACCTGTGTGATCAGTTCCAGTGCCGGAGCTAAGACCTCTCAGTCTGCTGTGTTTCACTCAAGAGGCAAACCTGGGTCCTTCGACTCAGCAGGCTGAGTCCTATGCTGGAACTGTTACAATTTCTTAGAAATATCTCCCCTCTGGTTCTATTTGCTTAGGGAAGGAGCCGGATTCTTCAGCTTTTGGCCTGCAAGGCTTCTTTCCTCTGTTTCAGCCACTCACACCCCACCTGCTCCACTGGACTGACTGAGGGGGTCACATCAAACCTCCCCCTCTCAAAGACACGATGATGACTTCCTTTGGCTTAAAGCCGTGGGATAGGAAGGAGTCTCTACCTAAATGTGGAACATCCATGCCTTTTCTGTCACTTTTCTCCTCTAAAGTCAGGAAAAGAAACATAGCAGTATTTTCTTCCTTTTTGGCAGAATTTGTATGATCTGTTATATTTAATGAGTCGGAGTTTAGCTTTATGACGTGATAGTGGCAGTAGCAACCAGAAAATATGAGACAAAAGCATTGAAATCCTGTTTGACAGCAAGATTGAAGTAGCAGCAAATGATTTTACTTAATCCAATGAAGCTCATGTTTGTCAATTTTGTATAAAAATAATGCAAATTGTTAGAAGTTGTGTTAGAAAAGGAGAGTCGCACAGTCATGAATGTTGGTGTGAAGGATTTTAGTGCACCTTAAACTGGCTACACACCAGAGAGGAGGGATGTTGCACGAGCACACGGGTCAGAGTTCAAACATGAGCACCATTTGTTAACGAGCAGCGTTCGTTAGAGCTACCCTCTATGCTCATTCACATCTCTGACAGGCTTGTGCTCAAATAATCTGAAACTAGATGATGACCATTTACTTTAACTCCTGATTAATGCAAGCTCTTTTTAATAAACCATCATTTTAATTGTAATAGTTTAAAATGATTTCTTTGAACGGTGTGAAAACTGACTGCAGAAGTAAAAATCATCCATGAATGAAGCTCACATTTTATTCCTCTGCTACCACTATATGAAATATTTAGCAATTTGGCTGCCATTTTTTTATTATAATGTTTTATTTCACAAAATAAAAACAAAATAACCATTTAAAAATAATTTATTTTTTTTTATTTAAAATGTATATATTAATTTTGACGAGGCTGGAATTGTTGAAGTTTTTGTGCAATCATGCTTGCCACTATGAGCCACAAATACTTTGTCAGCAAAAGAATTTGTGAAAGATTTTTATTTAGCATTTATTTCATTTTTAATTTCCCACATGCAGTCTGCTTTGCTCGTGCTTTCTCAGACGGGTAGATCAGCCCCACCAAACGGATTAGGTTCCAGGTCCAGACATTAGTCCGATGCTTCGGCAGAACCTTTAAAGATATGTTAGAACTGTGTTTTTGGAGCTGTTGACACTTTGAAGATTGTTACTTTTTCTATTTTTGGTTCTTGTTAGTGTCTCTTGTACATAACTCAGACCCCTGGTGAATTAATCAGACAGACCACTAACATCATCGGACCGATCAGAGACAAACATGAATGCTGAGAACCTCACCTGAGACTGAAGTGGAGCGCTAAAGAGAGGAAAGATGGTGGAAAACTCAAAGCATGAGAGAATTAGCTGAAACTGGTAGCCATCACATGCATATGGTAATGTTGACATATTACAGTTTGATCATCCTTCATTTGAATAGAATGTGTGGGTTTTGTGCCATTTTTATTGTCTTTATAAATGTAATACCTGCAAACTTTTGCTTAAGAGTTTTAAATAAAAATGTGTTTTACCCTCAAACATGTTTAAGTGGAGTTTCTCAGATTGTGTGACTTTCTTTTTCTTTTGAAACAAGATTTCACTGAAACAAAGTTTGACAAATTGTGATTTCCCTGTCAGACAGACATGTCGTCTTCATTTTGCAGTTGTTCTCAACTTGCTGCAACATTATTGAGATAGCAAACTTCATTTTCAGCTTTGTAACTAAGTGTGAATCTACTGTGTTGCTCTGAACTGAAATCAGGTTTTTAGAAAAAAGCAATGCTGGACTTTGTTCACCTTTGTGTGGAGCTATTTGTCTTTATATGTCTTTTTAGTAAAAATATCAGTGTTGTTTTAAAAGGCAATATTTGCATATATTTCACTGCTAAAGAACCTTTAACAGTGTGGGAAACATGTTTGCAGTGGTCTCTGGTAGGAATGAATGCCTTGCAAGTCGTAATCAGGGCAAAACAATCGCTTGGATCTGCTGCAGTAGAGAGTGGCAAAATACAGCAGGAGTCTTATTTACTGATGTTTGAAAATCTCGTCTCTGATTGGATAACAGCAACACGACTCTACCACAGACTTGTAACGTAGATGTTTTATCCATAGATATGAATGTGTAAATGCCCCATTGGGCGCTGGAGAGTGTAGCAGCATCACCGCCATATTGGATGGGTTCCTCACTCTCCCAACCGACCTGGAGTTAACGCAGGGTGAGCCCTTATGCTCGTTTTTGGTGCAGCCCACAGCTGCAACAACCGGTGTACTATTGAAAATCGATCACGTGGATATTGAATCTTTTGGCCTACCTGTTGGGATTTTAGATTTCAATTGGTTTTAATTAATTTTTGTTGAATTTTATATTTTAATTATTATGCCAACATGAGTTTGATTTTGTGAAAAAGAATAATAAAATGTGTTTTTAGTTGGGTAAACACCTCCCTCAGTAGAAATAAATGCAGTGAGGGCAAAAGGAGACCTGTCATGTTTAAGCACCTAAGACACTATATAACAGCACAACACAAGGAAAGAGACACAAAAGTCAGAATTCTGCTTTAAGCTCGAGGAGAATGGAATAAGGCCGCACCAACTCAGTCTCCACTGAGCTGACAATTCCTCCAAACCATTATGGCCTTTGGAATCCGAGCACCTCTATTTATTACAAGCTGGGAGCTCCCTAGTTACATGCCTGAGAAGGGAGGGGGAAAACACAGCTCTCAGTTTTTTATTGTTACAAGTTTCACACAAAGAGCATTCATTATTACACAAAGAACTTTCAGTGTCTAATCACACGATGAGTAGCAAGCAGTTGCACGAGTCAGCAATTGACAGATCAGCAGATCTCCTCAGAACATCCTTGGGTCACATTAGGTCAGATTTTAACACTCTTAAAGTCTCATGAGGGGACTTTACAATAGAGCAACTGTTTAAGCATCAAGTGGTAAAATCATTAAGCATAAAACATGATAAATGAAAACAATCTTTAAATGTAATAAAAGCATAAAGCATGATAAAGAAAACATGAATAATTATTCTATCAAGACCCATGCAAGATGGCGGCCAGCCACTACAGCAGCTCACACAGGCAGTGTCAGTCCATGGGGCGTCTATATATATAATGTTTGTGGTTTTATCCCCACAAATAACACAAGCCTGGAAAAGTTCTGCTGTGTGGTAAAGTTGCTAATGCTAACGGTTAGCTTCTACTAACTGACACATTCTCTGCTCTTTCCTGGACGCTAAACCAACAACAGCCTTCCTCATCACAAGTCAAGATGGATGAGTCCGTGAATGTTAGAAAATAGATGGTGAAACTCTAGGATTTGAAAATCCTGACATCACACTGTTCACTATCAGAAGCCAATGCAGGAGACCTTCAAATGCATTTGCACAAATTGTTTTTATAATATAAAGTCAGAACTGATCAAAAATACTTATTTAGCTGTTTGTAAAGGGGAAAACACAAAATAGACTTTAGGTAAGGAAAATGTATTTTTATACACCAGAAAGAAAAATCACAAAGTGGTCTACAATGAAAATCACAAACATGAAAATTTATCATGAAAAACTAATAAATTAACAATAAAACATAAAAACAAATTGAAGATAAATTAAAATACAAAAGGTAGTAATATAAATAAAATAAAATAAAAAGATTAAATATTTAACGCGGCTGTTTGTCATCAACATTTTTTAAACTTTTATGAGTTTAGATTTCTGCCATAAATATGAGTAACTGATATATCTTCATGTACACAATCACAAAAGTTAATTTCTTCCTTATTTAAACAGAAAGTTGATTTACACAAAAACAAAGTTCAGTTGTCAGACAAAGCCAGATTTCTGTGTGAAATCCAACAGTAAGAACTTGTGGTTTAACTTTTCCTGCATTTCTCTGCAAGATTAATCTTTTTCTGTTTGGAAACACACTGGAAAGCTCTTAATTTATGACACAATTTTCTGGCACACTAAATGATCCTTTGCAACAAGAATAATTAAAACCAAGTGTTGTTATGTTTTCCCGCAGCTGCCTCGGTGTGGCTGAAAGGAACGAGCCACAAAAATTAATGTGAGTATTTATAACAACATAAAGACTGGATCCTCTGGGACACTGGCGGGAGTTTTGTTGGCGTTAGTATTGAAAACCACTGTCACCCCTCATTTAAAACCGTATTACTCACTGGTATTTTGTGAAAGCTGTGTGTACACAGGGGCATTTTTTAACATTATGTCAAAACAAGGTGGAGTGTAAAACATGAAGGTATTTTATTTACAGGAATATTTGGCTATTCAGCTCCTGGGTGATTTATAACGTGTGAGTTCATTGCTGAGTCATTAATCTCTTCCTTTACTGGATGTATTTACCTTTAAGACCCAAACAAAACGCAACCTCATCACTTTGTAAAAGATGATGTCATGCTGCTAAAGTAATGAAACTGCATCTGAAATCTTTTATCTAGCATCAGATTGGTGGTCACTACAGCTGTTCATATATTTCTAGTGGGGGTCGATGATGGTATACACTTCCAGAAGTTGGCAGTGGACCGATGGACAGTTATTGAATATAATATTATATTGCTATCTATTCAAAGCATACACACACGCACATTTCAAAACCCAAACTCAGGTTTTTCACCTGACTGAATATTTAAAAGACTCTTTGAGAAAGCTTGTCTAAAAATTAGGTTGAAAAATCAAAAAGAACACTAAAAGATACTTCTGAGGATGGGATATGTTGTGCTCTTTTGATGTTTTGTACCCCAGGGAGGGCAACATTCAGGCTTCAGCATCTTGGGTCCTATGGATACTTCTACATGTGGCCTGAGGAGCATTTTCTCATTGTTTGTCTCGAATCACAGGAAAGGTGAAAACGGCTGCAGTCGCAGCCTCAGCTCAAAGCAAGGAACTGTTGTGTTTTTGTTTTGACTCGGATCTGTCTCAGTAGCAACAGCCATGACTGAATCATCCAGCTGTGTGTGGTTAATGTATTTTAGGGTATAAGGCAGAAGTTTTGCTGCAGGTCCTGAATCAGCAGCACATCACTGAGCTTAACAATGAGATGGCCGTGGAAGTGATGAGGGATTGCTGCAGTCTCAGCTTCAGCTGCAGCACAATAGCCCTACTTCATTATGTTTTTCTGTTAAAGTTATAAATAATTCACCGTTTCCCTTTGTAGAATGCTTCTTGAACAGCCTCTGTTTGGAGAAATAGAGTTTGTCCTACAGGAGGTTGAAGGTATGGTTCACAGAGAAATACAACTGGTCACTCTGAGTTTCACATGCATGAGGAACATGAAAATAGGTTTCTACCCCAATGTCCTGCATTAGCTGCTGATTGGAAATAGACGAGGAAAAGCTCGGGTCGGGAAGAGCCTCACAGATCTGTGTCACATTGAAAATTAGCATTCCTGGACTCACCTATCTTGACTCATGACAGTGAAGGCTATTGTTGATTTAGCATCCAGAAGAGCAGACTGGTCTTGGCCAGTAAAAGCTAACGGTTGTACATTAGCAACACCACAGAACGGCAGAACTCAGCTGCAATATCAGAGCTGCAAAGCAAACAGTCAGTGGTAGAGTTGTATTTCTGTGAGACAGTCAGAGGCTAGATGTTTGCATATTGTGAATATCAGTGAGTAAGACATCGAATCCCGCCGTGCTCTGCTTCAACTCCTCCAGCTAACTTTTACTTCCTGAAACAAGTGTGCCAGAGCTTTTTTCCCACAGAGAACTACTCACGAGGCATTCATTTCCCGTGCAAATGTATTGAAATAATGTGTAAACCCACTTTAAGTCTGAACACAACCAAGACCTGTTGAAAGCTGTAGCTGCATTCTAAAAACAAACTAAAATAAAATTTACTTTGAATGCTGAAAAGTAGTAGATATATCACCTGCAGCCGAATATAGCTCTGATGCAGCTGGAAGGCACATCTGGCAGGAGCTTCTTAGGATTTCTGCTGAAATGAAGAGTGGTATGCAGGCATCCACTCAGAAATGTTGCCCATTAAAGCCTTTGAAGATGGCAGAATTGGCTGTAAAATTGTTTATTCAAATGTTGTTGAAGTGGTTGATGATTCTCTTAATTATCTTCTAGCTTCTACTATACAGTACTATGCAAATGTTTTTGACAAGTGTGGAAAAAAAGACCCCAGACAAAAAAGCTTTTAAAATGGAAGTGTTAATCATTGATCCTCATAAATCAATAAAAACAATGAATGAACAAAAGAGAAATTTAAATCAAATCAATATATGTGTGACCACCCTTTGCCTTAAACAGTATAGATTCTTCCAGACACACTTGCACACAGCTGTTGGAGGAACTGGGCTGGGAGGTGGTTCCAAACAGCTGCTCTGTGGATGAAGGCTTTCTCTCATCCTTCTGTCTCTTTATGTGATCCCAGACACACTCAGTGAAGCTGAAATCCGGGCTTCCAGAATTTCTTGTTCTTCTTTACACTGAAGATAGTTCTGAATGACTGACTGGATGTTTGGGGTCACTCACTTTGCATTTTCTAAATAAAATAAAAAAAGAGTA